TACCCATCACTGTCTACAGGCAGGACATACATTCATCATACAGATGTGTAGCAGCCAACCCTGCAGAAAACAAGACTTTTTCTGTTGATGTGAGGAAATTATGTGGATTCAACGAGACAGAAAGTGGTGATGAAGAAAGAATGTGTAAGATGAATTACAGACTTTTAAAATGGATCCATGTTTCTTTGTGATGCCTTCTCTTTCATTTTACTGTTTATTGTGTTTTTTTTTTTTCTAACAGATTGGATCGCACCTGTTGTCTCAGTCGGGTTTGTCATCATTATTGGTTTTGTATTCTGTGTGATCAAGCAGAGATATCTGGGCAAAAAGACATCTGACAGACAAACACAAGGCAGGTATTTGGTAGTTTTATTCTTTCTCTGAGATTAATTTAATAATTCTAGTTTAATAAATCCGAGTTTGGGAAATATTCTGCAGGAATAATCTTTTGCATTAGAAATGTTTTATTTTGCATTAACAGGAAAAAAAAACATTTAAGTTTAATATAATTATAATGTTTTTAATGGTTGGTGGGGGATTTTATTTGGAAGATCTGCTGCTTCACCTTCACAGCCTGAACAGCAGAATAATGAGGCTGAATCATTGGTCCTGATGCTGATAATCTAAAGGAGGCCTGTACCTTTAATTCAGCCCAGTAATGATGCTACAGCCTGTTCTATCATGTTCTACCTGGTGTTTCACAGCATCTCTATCTACAGAGACCAGAACAAAATGTCTGCTTCTCCTTTTAACCTGATGCTGAGGGGCCCATATAATAACAAGACAGCGTATCTATTGAAGCCTGTAGGCATTAGAAGGTAGAAGCTCACCTTACAGTCAGGCATCTCTGGGGTTTTCCACCTCTGAGGGATTGTTTTCATTTTCAGGTTGAGGCAGTAGACCTGAATGCAGCTTCATTTACTATCAACCCTCTCTGGATTTTCTTTTTTTCTTTTCTTTGTTTTGTTCTTGGTTTTAAATAACATAATCCTCCTCCTAAGAGCTGCCTTTTCATCCAGGGAGCAAAGGAAGCTTTCCACAGGAATCAGAATCAGACATACTTTAATAATTCCCAGAGCGAAATTACTTTTGTTACACACTTTGTTACAAACACAGCCCACTGTGGAATTACACGCTGGAGGCAGATCTGTTCCCCAGATGCTTTCCAGCTCTGGGCAGCAATAAGTGGTCAAAACAACCACAACATTTCAGACTAAAGAAAATTGTGTTAATATTCAGAGAAATATTTTATATTCATTAGAAACTTGACAGAGAGATTAGATTTTATTTCAAATTCAAGTAAATCTGGAAATAATCTAAATTTAAGATGAAAGAAATTCATATTAGGATTTATTTTCTGTAAATTAGGCAGAATTATAAAAAGTGAGTTGAAGTTTGTTCTGATATTGTGATTTGTTGATGATCTAAATCAGGGGTGTCAAACTGGTTCCAGAAAGGGCCGTGTGGCTGCAGGTTTTCTTTCCAACCAAGCAATAGCACACCAGACTCCATTCATCTCATCAAGTGAGTCCAATCTGAACATGATGACTTGATGAGATGACTGGAGTCTCATGTGCTATTGCCTGGTTGGAGAGAAAACCTGCAGCCACACGGCCCTTTCTGGATTCCCCTGATCTAGATCTATCATCTAATGAAAACAAATGTTTCTCCATTTGATTGCAGTTCCTGGCTTTCCCTAATTGTACAATTCATTATGTTTTTGCTATTTATTAAACTTCAGTTTGGTTTGAATTCAGTGCTTGGCCTACAGGAAAGTAAACCTTAGTATTATACCTTAGGCCCTGTCCACACGAAGTCAAAACGAACACGAAACGCTAATATTTTCCAGAACGTTTGTCGTAAAGACGGAGACGTAGAATAAATGTGATCAACCACATGAATGCATGAAAACGCTGCAAAATGTATGCCAGGCCTGTAAGTGGCGCTGTGGTGCCAAAGCAAAAATAGGCGACGAAATGTTGGGCATGCG